ATTTTTATTCCACCCAACAACACACACTAAAAGGTAATGTTTTATATTAATAGCTGCATTCTGATCAAAATTGAATTACCAGCTTTGATCAATGTAATAATTGCAATTCCTTCATTGAAATTGCTGAAGGTTCAAGGAAATGCTTCAGCATTTTGTTATTTATATGCTGTTTTAAAACACATTGCAACTTACTGCTAAGATTTACGGCTTCTAGCATATGAATATTAGAWGAAAGTTRTTTGTAAACGAATACCATCCTTTCAACAACGTTTGGGGACGTTTTGGTKACCTTTGAGGAGTTTTTGTCAAAACAATAGCCATTTTTTTACCTTTCTGGATTGATTTCTACTCTTATATTCATTATGAGAACGAATCGAATTTTGTTTCTTTAATCTTTTTTCATTTTTTTAAGGATTAATTAGTGGCCTTTCAGTTGGTGCATCCGGTTCAGCTTCTCAAGGAGAAGGCTCCCTTAACTCTTTTCTGAATTTAGGATCAAAAGATAAATTTGTGCTCCGGCTTGTACGTGCTACATCGTTTACATCTCCACTGTTGACTGTCCTCAATTATTCCTRCTCTTCACAATGTTTCTCGACGGCCCTGTCTTGAAAGCCATGAATTTTGGATCGAGGTTTCATTCTTCCAAATAACCCTGGTCGTTTGTTAACCACTAGTTGATCCAGTGATATTAGCTTTCAACTCTTCTTTTGCAGTCAAAAGACATGAAGCGCCCCCCCCGAATAGTTCATTATTTAATGCATTATTGGATTTTTCATTTTATTTTTTGTTTTCTCAGTTGATCAATGCAAAATTAAATTCAAATCTCGAACTCTGATAATGACAGAGAACAACACAGCATTTCCAGCTTTTTGAGGACGTCTTTCCTTTCTCACGAGAAGGAACTGATCCAACCAAATAAACAGACAGCATATTGCAATGCATCGACTTGTGGATATTACAAAAGACCAGCATGTTTACAAGCGAGATACGAAGAAGAGGGGGGCGCGCTTCATGTCTTTTGACTGTAAAATATCGTGATACGACATGTTGTTCAAGATGTGGACTATTTAGCTATTAGAACTGGAAACGCACAATAAAATCGCACAATAAAATCGCACAATAAATTCGCACAATRAAATCGTAGAAAGTCSACACAGGAGAACATCCTCCGTACTGTTTCGCACTCGACACTACGTTTAATGCTCGTGAAACTTTTTCTTTATATTTTTCTTTAGATTCTAACAAATAATGAAACAAAAAGATAGAGTCTGCATTGAACGAGAAAAGAGATTGAAGCGCCACAACACAAACGGTTTCTTTTATAAAATGTGTACGACTTTGTTTCTATTGTCTCCTGGACTGATTGACTCAAGGGACGACGGATCCCCTCAATAGGCACTGCTGAGACGCTTCTGATTGGTCGCGTTGCGATTCTTAGTGGTTTATGGTGATCTTTACTGCTCTCTCCTTTTATAGTTTTGTTCTTTCGTATGATGCTACGGCATGTTACATACCGGTATATTATTGTAAAACCCGTAAAGCACCTTCTGTATTGTTTAAAAGCATTTTCTACTCACGATCTACATGCATAATTTCCTCAACCTCTCTGTGTTTGGTTTGAATGTATATGTAGTAACTTCGGTAAGACAATTCCCGCTAAAATAATAAGTCAAACCAACATCAAATTTCGCTCCCTCTCTCTCAATTTGTCGCATGAAGTACAATTAAGGTGTCGTTCGTGTTCCAAGAAGTCGTGCTTTGAAGGCTGAAAAACAACTCGAAAGTCATTACTTTAATTTTATAAGTCACGATTATTGGCGGGGATTGTAACATGCGCATCTGATGTGCAGAGAACATGGTGCGATAAACGTATTACGAGTGCTGACTAATGCTAGCTTTTGCTTTATTTATTTTATGATAATGTCATGTTTGACATGCCAGGACATTTATCACGAAATTTCTGTACAGTTCTTATTTTTATCTTTCGAGAATGATGATGATTATTGTCTGGATTGAAAGACC